CAAATTTATTATTTTTTTTTTTTGCAAGTCACATTTGACATGTATTGCACGTGTTTCTAAACAAACACACCTAATAATACAAACCATATCAGTGAATCACCTTTACCTGAGCTAATAGACTGCAGTGATAAATTCAGGTTCTGTTGAAAATTAGACAAATATTTACAACTCATGAGGCACAACTTCAGTGTCACATGATCCTTCAGAAATCATTCTAATATGCTGATTTGCAGCTCAAGAAACATTTCTTCTTGTTATCGGTGTTGAAAACAGTTGTGCTGCCCAATATTTTAGTGGAAACCGTGATGCATTTTATTTTCAGGATTCTCTGATGAATAAAAAGCTCAAAAGAACAGCATTTTTTTGAAACAGAAATCTTTAGTAACATTATAATTGTCTTTACTGTCACTTTTGATCTATATAATGCATCCTTGTTGAATAAAAGTATTTTATTTTGATAGTATATAAAAAAAAAAACTAATTGACCCCAGACTTTTGAAAGGTATTAAACATTTTTGAAAATTATGTTTAGTGCTGCTAAAAATTACATGCGTTAAAGGGCTAGTTATGATTTACTCCTTATAATTTATTTTGTATTCCACAGAAGAAATGCATACAGGTTTGGAGCTGCATGATGGTAAATACAATATAATTTTTTTTCTACTTTTGGATGAACTATCAATGTTTTGCAGGCCACTCCTGCAGCTTTCAATACTTTTAAGAGTCTATCCCCTCCATAACCAAATAGATGGTTGAGTGGAACTAGCTGCACACTGAAAGTCACCTTGTGACCCCTAATCATTAATAACACTAAATAACATTAAACTGGCTATAATGGGGAATGATGGGGAATCTGCCTATCCTGAATTCAGCCTTAGTCTTGTTCAATGTTAATGTGTATCATTTATTGATAGAGGCTAACTGCTTGATATTTATGGCCTTTTTGCCTTTAAATTCACAGTAGATTGGTAAGATGCTGGAAAGAGGTGGAAAGAGAAGATCGTGCAAGCCAGATTTGAATTCATGTTCCCAAGATCACTTTTACGACCCACTGCACCAACTTGCCTGATCAGGTTTGTTGTGTATTAGTGTACATCTCTTTGATGCATTTGACCTGTCCTTTTTTAACCATATTACTACTACAAGCTACAACAGTTCTTTGCCGTTATTGTCTAAGGAATGGATCAAATGTGTGGTACCGTGGGCAGCTCGACCACAACCACAAGCCCTCTCTGTGAGCCAATCAATGTGGAGAAGAAAGCAGAGCCACCGCCTTTTGCCC